CTACACAAATATATATGTTTACATAGCAAAATTATCTATTCCAATCTGAAAATTCAGAGAGCAGTCCTTTTTTTAAAAAAAAGGAATTCTTTTGCACCAGTTAATAAGGACACAATGAGAAACACCTATATATTTTGTGTTTGTGTATGTGTGTGTGTTAAGTTTAGGGTATAGTAAAGAACTTTTATCATATTCTTTGATTGCAACCTGTTGCAATACCATAAAAAAAGAAAAAGGAAGAAACAAGTTTTAGAATTTAAACATTGCCTCAAAAAATGTCACTTTACAAATGTTTTTAAAGAATTGCTAATCTTCCAATAAATTGCACTCAAATTATTACATTGGAGAAAACACCTCAGTATCCCAGTGCCAATCTGAAAATTCTGTTTTTGTAACTGAATTCCAATCCTAGCATATTCACAAAGTGATAGGTTCACTTAACCAAATTTTTATTTTATAATTTTATAATAACAGTTAAATAAGAAAGCATTCTAAGAAATTAAAAAATTACTGTGGCGCGGTGCTTTGTATATATGTGTGCATGCACACAAGTTTAAGTATGTGTGTGTGTGTGTATGCACATATAAAGTACTAGCCAAGCACAAGCACACACTGTATTCGTGACAGAAACACAATATGAATGTATAATATAGACAGTGATAAAATATTTAAACAATGCATTGCTTCTCATTACATAGACACATTACATATATATAAGAAGCTTGTCATCTTTCAGTTTTTGGCCATTTATGTTTTAGAAGTCTAACAGCATTTTTTAAAAGGCTGATGGATATTTCTTAAGGTAATAAAAGCACTTCTGAAACTGAATAAGGTTATGACTGAAAAAGCATTTCGGTGTTCACCGAAAACAAAACATTTACTTTATTATGAAACATAGTTTCCATTTCTTTAATAGACTCCCTATCACAGGGATAAAAAAATGTATATATTTATGTATTTTTCTTTCCAGGAACAGCTTATCCCATTAACCTCTCATTAAAACAGACATGGTCAAAAAACGGGACTAGGATAGGAGGTATGCAAGTCTGAACCAAAAAGATATATGTTTTGCCTCAGGTGAATAGCTCAGCATGAAGTACTGCAATTATCTGCGTGTGTGTATGTGTGTGTGTGTTTAAAAAAATGTTTGCTCTTATTTTAAGGAGGAATAGATTGGACCATGCACGGAAACACCCAACAATCACTAAATTGGGTTGGAATCTATCTGAACCTTAAAAACAGACAGGCTTGGGAGATTAAAAGCATCTCTGCCACAGGATCCCAATAGCAAGGCTAGCTGCACTGCACCTACCTGTGGAAATACTTTCCATTTACTTAACAGGCCAATCTGGAGCTGTTGAAGTACATTTAAGTGCCACATTAAATTATTGCATCAAGATATGCAAGAGATGAGAGGGATAGAGTTGAGAAAATACATGGAATTACCTTCCTAGGCAACATTTATAGCCTGGTATTCAAAAGAAAAGCACTCCCACCAGTTTACAAAGATGAATCAAACCCACAACAGAAGCAGCAAAAAGAATACTCTTCTAGCATATTATGGTCTGTAAAGCTGACACATTCTCAAACTGCTGGGGGAATGAGAGTATCGAACTGATGTTTGCAGTGTGGTGACTATAAGTACCACCGCACAATATCTGCACATTGCTCTCATTCACCTACAACTCAGCTGAAATGCGTTGAGATGCATTCCCTGCTGTGGAGACCAGCCACTACCAGTCACCTTTACGTCCGGGTGGTCGCGTTAAGCTTCTTGGGGCTACCGCTGTGTAAAACGAGTTGTGGCAAGCATACAAGCGCCGGGCAGGAGGCAACTACCCAACTGCAGCTAAGCCAGTCAGGGCGGGGGCGGGGAGTAAGAATGAGCGCGAGAGACAGATCACGCGCAGCCAGCCCGCTGGAGCAGCAAGCCTAACCCGCCGCCTCGTCGCTCGCGCTCAGAGAGGATGCTGGCGGGAAGGCGGCGCAACGGCGCGTGCTCTTCTTCCCTGCTGGCCCGCTTAAGCGCTGTCAGCTCCGGCTCCCGCCGAAGCATCCGAGGGAGGGAAAAGTTTGCAGAAAGGCCGCTAAATCTCCGGGAGGGGAAGGGGGGGCTTCTCGATGGACGCACACACAAACACACACACACACACGCACACACTTTATCTATGGGAGGAGATAATTCTACAGGGAGTCTGCTTCAAGCCGCAGGCTGCCTCCCCCCCCCCCTTTGCAAGTTGCAAATCGCCCCTTGAGTTTCTAGTATACAGCAGAACTTGAGCTCAGTCGAGGCCCTCTGGCTTTTTTTTTTTTTTTTCCTCCCGCCCCGTGCGCGAGGCTCCCCCGCTAACCCTAACGCGCCGCTCCTTCCTTCCCGAGGCGTTAGAAAGTCGCCGATTGGAGGGAAAGGCCTGCGAATGCAAATGAACTTGGCCTCCCCGACATCCCCTCCTCTCGCTCGCTCGCTGGCTCTCTCTCCTCTCCCTTTCTCTCTCTCTCTCTCTCTTTCTTAGCCGAAGGGTGTCCAAACCAGCTGCGCCCCCTCTCCCGCCCCAAGGAGAGGAGGCAGCGGGGAGGGGTCTCCCCTGCAGCGTTGCTACTGTGGCAGCCGAGAAATCACGGCGGCCGGCGGTGGCTGCTCCCCTCTGCAAACAGGCGCTAACCCCGTCCCCAAGGAAGGCTTAAGGTTCACCCCCCCCCAGCCTTCTCTAGAGACCTGGGTTCAGATCTGATGTAATTGTCCAGTTCTCTGGACGTCCTAAACACACACACACACAGGCATCTAAAATCTACCTAGATTTTTTTTCCCCTGCGAGATCTCTTCTACAAAATACTTCACAAGTGGGGAAGGGGGGAAGAAGCCTCTCGCCCAACTTGCATTTGACGTATGAATTCCAGTTGCATTGTATATATATATATGGGTTGTGACCCTGCTATTCTTTGGCTGAGCAAGCTTGAGAAAGAAAGGGGGGGCTGTGATCCAGTCCCTTCCCTTCTCCCATTCTAAATTTGATTTAGTTGAAGTTGTAGTCGAATTGGCTAATTCTGAACACAGGCTATTGAGAGAGGAGGCCAGGCAGGGCAGTATATCCCTGTATAGCAGTGGATACAATGTGCTGAATTGCCAGTCTAATTATAAATGTGGCATTTGGACCTCCTTTCGTGCCACCTTACCTTATGAGGGAACTTCAACTACAGCAACTGTTCAAAACAAAATGCCATTACAGGATCAGCTTCATCCAACACTGGAACTAGCCAAGAGATTGTTTTACAAATAGTCTTTCTCACTTAACACAAGGATGTATTATAAGAAACACAGTTAAGGAGAAGGAGGTAGAGTTTAAAGGAAAGCATCAGAAGTTCCCTGCCTGGTGTCAAGCTACTCTTGAGCTGCAAACGAAATCCAAGTAACCTAATTATTTTCCTTGGTATCTGTACTTCCCTAAAAATACATTTGAAGTGAGGGGGGAGGCAACTCAAATTTCTTTTTAAGGAAGATTAAGATAGGAGCTCCAAGGAGAGATGCACATACAAAAGGCAAAGGCACAAAAAAAAATCCTGCCTAACCATACCTTTTGAGTAACAAAGGTTTGAGTTGCACATCCTATTCAGTGTCCATGTTAAAAATAGGTGAGCATGCAAAGATTTCAGTACAAGTGCAGTCTAGTTATAAAGTGTGTTATGTGTGTCTACATATTTGTGTGTTTTGTGTGTGTGTGTGTGTGTGTGTGTGGTTGCTACCTTTTCTCTCTTTCTCCTCCCTCGTCTACACATTCTTTAGCAAAAGATTAAATATTTTGTTTTGTCCTGAGGTCCCATTCTTTTCAGGCAAATCATAGTTAAAGTTTGCAGTATTTTTAAATGAAATCTCTTTTCTTTCTCCTCCCCCCCCTTAAAATTAAAATTAGGTCCAAACTTGCCTATCCTACGTCAGCGGGCTATTAAAAAGAAACCCACACGCAAAACGTTTTCCTAATCTGCATAACAACAGGCCGAAAGAGGCTTGTTTATCTCAGAAAGTTTCCGTGTCTGTGTTTTGGGGGAAAACACCCTGGAGGCTACAACTAATCTCCTATCCGCAGGCTCCCAAGCCCGGGCAAAGATCTCCCTGACACCCAGACACAACAACGCTCCGTTGCCTTTTCGACATTTGCCCCTCTTCTCTCGCCGTCCTTAAAAAACACTCAGGAAACCAGCCCCGCGCAAAGCCAAATCAAATCAAATCTTGATAATCGGCGCCTCCGATTGAGCCCACGGGCCTGCTTGGCTCTCAGGCGGGCGGGTGCCTTCCAGCCAGCGTTTCTGGTGGCGAGGCGGAGCGGAGGCCCCGGAACGGCAGCGGGAACGCCGAAGCCCGGGGAACTCCGCGCCATCGAAAGCGGCTTAAATTATTCACGTGCAAGCCGCGGGTGCGCCCTGTCTGCACTGTGCCAGCGCGGACCGACGCCTTCCAACCCCACGCTCGCTCGCCGGACGAACGCGCAGCCTTATCTTGGTTTGTCCCGTCTCAGACCAGCTTTGGTTTCCCCCTACCGTACTTCGGCAAAGAATTTGAAATTCACGAACGCGTTCGTGTTTTGTTTTTGGTTTTTTTTCCTAGAAAAATGAGGGGTGGGGGTAGGGGCGCAACTCAAAACTACGGACACCACCGGTTTAAACTCCACAGACAACTCCCCAAGAACAGCACGCAAGTGTGTTAGTTGAGAGCCGGCAGAATTACACAAAACAGCCGAACGCTGCAACTATCTTCCTGTCAGGACTTCTTACAAACACCCAACTAAAACGGGACTGTCTCCCAGCAGCAGCAGCACTTTTGAGGGAAAGGGGGGCGAGGAGACACCTTGCCGCACTCCCCCTTCTGCAAGCCCGTTTAAAATTCCAGCTCCACGGGCCGCCTCCGGGCGACCAGGATTGCACAAAAAAGGTAACAACAAACAACAGCTATGAAGCCCCAGAAAGAAGAGAAAGAGCGAAGAAAATAAGACTTCCTGGGAACTTACTTTACGGTTACTTTAGGCGCTATCCTTTTCTTCCAGCTGGCAAGGAAAGCCGTTTTGTCCAGGTTAGGTATTGTTGCCTACTTACGGATCAGTCCGTGGCTACGGGGTTTATTTTAATTTATGGCTTATGCATTCTTTTAAGGTCGATTTGCATGACCTCCGGCTAAGACACAGCAACAACTCCCCCCGCTGAATGTAGGGCGAGCCCACAACGCCGCCAAGAGCTCCCCTTCTCATGGTGTAAGCAGAGCCCGGTGTGTTTTTGAGCTCTTTTTTTTTCTCCCCCTCCCTGTAGAACACAAATTAGGGTGTGATATCAATTTTAAAGTTTTCGGTATAACTTTATCCTAGCCTCTGCCTGCAGAGATAAGGCGCCACGGACGCGGCAACTCCTCGATATACTGCCCCCCTGTGGCCAAAGGCAGCACTGCCTCGATCCCTCCCTTTCTTAAAGATCTCTCGGCCGATATATATATATATATATCGGCCGAGATATATATATATAAAGCACGCTAGCGCCGAACTTCTTGAGAAGTTTACCCACCTCAAAGTTAGCGGACGGGATTCAAGGCGCTAACACACCTCCTCACTCCCCCACTCCTACTAGTTTTGCGGGCGAAGGCAGACGCCTCTTGGAGGAATGACATCCGCTTTGTGTTCCCCAAAGTTGACGTTAAGGTTTTATTTTTCTTCTCCCGTTCCCTCGCCTGCCTATGCTAGTATCTCTCTTACGCACAATCTCTCTCGAGCGCCATGTGTTCGCAGGCAGGCAGCGGGTGATCTTAAAATACAACATGGATCTGTCACTACGTTTTAAAATAGACGCCACTTGGAGGGCGGAAGGGAAAGGAACCGGAGGGGGGTGGTGGAGAGAGAGAGAGACACACACACACAAGGAGGAGAGAAAGAGAGCGGAGAAACGAAGCAGCGTTGTTGTGATTTCTCCCCTTTACGCAGACTTGGGATCTTTTCTGAAAACTCACCCCAGATTAGCAGCGCAAGGACTTTCTCCGTCAGTCTGCCGTTTCCCTTCCCATCCCCATCGCCGCCACCAAGGCAACCCTCCCCAGAAAGCCTAGCAGTAAGGAACCGTGTCGGGGAATCATTCAGAAATCTCTTAACTTCACAAGCTACCTCCGGACGCGGCGGCTGTTGTCGCGGCGGCTGCTTTGGTCAATTGCAACTAACCAGCCTTTAAAGACAGCGCGAGGAGTACCGTATTCTCTCGCATATGTCGGCACCAATGAAACGTGGAAGACTCTCTTACAGCAGGACCGAGGTCTACACACCAAAGCCGAGCTGTTTTACACACACATACACCCGCGCGCGCACGCACACACAAACACACGCCCTCGCAACTTCGGTCCACAACAGGTCGTAACGATACAATAAGCGCTGCCTGGGTTTCCTGCCAAGTTACCTTCTTGGAGATTCCGGTATGTCGATTTAAAAAAAAAAAAAAAAAAGGCCTTGGAGTTCCTTTAAAAAAAACAAAAATTCTGCAGCGACGGGAGGTAAGGAACAGGAGAAGCGCGATTGACTCTAGGAATCGCGCGAATAAACTGCCAAATAATATACTATGCTAGCGAAAGAAGCAAGCGCAGTGGGCCGCGGCTGATGGTTCTCCGGGCCATGGTTATGTTGCAAAAATCAGATCTTCGGTATAAGTTTGCCGACGGGTTGCCTGGAGATTTAATTACAATCGAAGAGTCATTATTTGTTGTTGGGCTTGGTTCCCCCCCCCTCCCCTTTGGCCGCCTCCCGCCCCTGCGCGCCGTCCCTCCCCCCTCCTGCGCGCACACACACACACACACACACACACACACACACACACGTGAAGACGCCGCTTTACTCCTGCCAATCTTGCAAATCAATACGAGCGGCCATGTCGTAAGTATTCAAAGCATTTCTCTCCGCGCAACATCAGAGAGTGGCCGGGGGCATCGGTCGGAGAACGGCAAAAGGAGGCAGGGCTGCTGCCGTCGCGCCCGCCCCCCAATGGCAAAGGCAGCACGCGCTGAGGCGCGGGGAACAGAGAGAGGGAGATTGAAGGGCCGGAGAGAAAGTGAGCGCCAAAGAGAAAGTGAAATTTCATTCTCTCTCCTTCCCCCCCTCCGCCCGCCCGCCCGCCCGCCTCCTCCAACGCACGCGCGGACGCATTCCCAACCACAAGCCATCCACCTCTCCCTCGCCCCCTCTGCCTGCCTCTCGCTTGCCGGCGTCTCTCGGAGAGCTATTCAGCGGAAGGCTATAGCGCTCACACTTTCCTGAGAGTAAGGCCCACCCGGAGGGACTTTTTACCTGCAAGCGAATTGCGAGGCGAGGGGGCTGCAAACACGCACACTTCCGAGGCGACCGGCACACTAGTCGCTAAGGGTTGCTGCCCAGAAAATGCATTTTTTTGTGAGCCTCGTCCATAAACGAGCGTTCTTCCGATACGATAAAAAAAGCAAACGGACACCTAGGTCTGCTCAGAAATAAACCCTTACTTTGGACAATCGACGAGGGCTAACTCCCATAACGTTGGTCCTAGTTACAAGTTAGATCGGTTAATTTGAAAATAATTTAGAACTAACACAATTCTATGGAAATCATTCGCGGGTAACAACTTCAAATTAAACGCTTTTTTTCTGCCGCCGGTCCCATTTATTTATAAATGGCATAGTCAAGCCAATATTTCGTTTCTGGTTGGCTCAAGCCTGGGCTGGTTGCCTTCAGAAATCCGACCGATTTCTGCGATGCCAACGTGCGTTAATTAGGTGCTTCGCAACTGCATCCTTTTCTTTTGAGTCTCGTTGATTTAGCCCTAAACTGGGGTAAACAGACGCCTGCAGCTTCGCGCTCCTACCCATCTACGTAGAGGCATTTCTTTAGGCTGCAGACCACCAGCCACTCACTTTCACCCTTCGGACTCAAAGCAAAGCGACTTCGGTATAATCAATGCCAATAAATATTGGGAGACTTAGGACAATGGTAAGGGAACACTCACAAACCTTCCGCACAATCCTGGTGGGTGGGTTGACTTGGACGCCCCGCTTAGTCAGCGTTTGTCCCGTTGGCACCTTGAAATCGGCGCGACTCACTCGGAGGGCAGGCGGTTTCCCCTTTAGGTGGATGTAGAATTAACTGTTGATTTCTGGAGCCTTGCTGGGTACCCTTAGACGCTGAACAGTAAAAACCCTAATGAACTCGCCACTCTCATACCTGAAGTTGGGAGGTGGTTGGGATCAATTGTGGTTGATGAGACAAGCCGGAGGGGGGGGGGCGCGGAGGAGAGAAAGAGAGGAGGAAGGGAGAGGCCTTGTGAATTGCGCCAGAAAGGGGGGGGGGGAGAAAGCCTGAGATTATTCACTTTGGAGAGGAAGGGCGCAGATCTAAACGAAGGGTAAGAGTAAGAGGGAGAGAGGAGGCATGAGTAGGGGTTGAAATAAACTCAAAAGAATCCCGCTCAGATTGGAATCCTCTGGTGGAATTAGTGAACTTCGCTGAGCTCAGCGACCTTTACTCTCTAGCCAACCAGGGCAGAAGAAGCCCCGCTATCCCCTTCCCTAAAGAAGGTGTGAAGTTCCCTAAAGAGCCAAGTTTCACTTCTGCCGACGACGCCCAAGCCGAGGTCTTCGGAAGGCGCTCGCTGGAAGGCCGCAGGAACCACTCCGGAGTAAGCTGGCTGCGCTTAACGCCAGACCGGGCAGACGAGTGGCTAGATTCTCTCCAGAAATCTCAACCATTCGTCTCCAAATAACTGCGGGAAAACTCGGGAAGGAATGCGTTAAGAGTGAGCGGTGCGTTAAGAAAGTGAGGGAGACACTTACTACGAGACAAATCGGCAAAGCGTTGGGCTTAACTGAGGAGTAATCACTTCCGTCTGCCTTGGCCTGTGAAAGTGGCGAGGGGGCTCCATAAAACACCCCAAGGCAGAGGACAGCTAGGAACCTGGCCGGGCCGTGAAGGTTGTGAAGGGGACAGTTGGGAAGAATTGCCTCTCCCACTCCGTTTTCCTGGGCCGCAAAGCAATTCTGGACATTTTAGGAACTTTGATTTTTTTTTCCCCCCCCTTAACAACTGAGGGGAAGGAAGGGGAAAAGCAGCGCTGAAAAGAGACGGAGAGGAGGTTAAAACATAACCTGTTGCTCGAAAGACAAAAGGCTCTCTCAATCTTTTTTTAGGGGGGGGGTCAATTTCACTCCTCCCCACCCCGAAAGTCAGTGTTCGACCGGGGTTTCTCACACTCTCCAGAGGCGCCAGAATTAACGTAAGGAAATAAAAATGACTTTCCCCTTTCACACCCTTTGCACCGAGACTCGAGGGTTTTTCGTGTAGGACGCAGGCGCCAAGACTTACAAAAGTAGAGACCGTTGGGGGGGGGTGGCTTCTTTGGCTTTGTATTTCGGGCTTCGCCTTGGCCACCTCCCACCCTTTCCCCAAGGTCTTCCCTTACCCCTTATCCCCCACCCCCGTCGTAAGATCAGAAAGTAACAGGGCAACTTTTCTGATTTAAAAGAAATCTTCTGAAGCCCATATTTGGGGGTTTGGGAAGAACCCTGAGACCCACCCAGACAAAGTCTAAAGAAATAAAATCCCCAACATTCTCCTAACTGGAGGGGGAAAAAAGCTTGTGGGAGCTTGCTCTGCTCTAGCTGTGTTTCGATTCAGTTGAAAGAAGAAAGTGTCTATGCGTACCTCTGTGTATGTGTGTGTGTTAATTTTTAGAATCTAATAAAAGCTTTTCTTCTCTGACATCCCGATCAAGGCTCTTCAAAATATTCTGACCCATCTGATTACATTGGGAAAATCATTAATTTAAAATTCAATAGGTGATTTTAAAATTTAAAATCTGATATTCATCCCAAACTAAAAAGGGAGTTTGTCCCAATAACATATTGAATCTACAATTTTCCTGCTTCTTTTGAAAATGAGAACTTCGTAATACGTATAATTTTGGCAGATATTTTGTAATTCCACGGATGACGTTTTTGTAACAAAACTTATTTATAGCTACTTTTTCCATTCAGTACAGACGGTTTGTCTACCTGCAGTTTGCGTCTTCTGCCCTGGGTGATTTTTTTTTCCTGTGCAACATTTCTCCTTGTTTAGTTTGCACGGCATCACTTTCGTATTGAAAAAGAGAGAGCGCGCGCATAAGATAGCAGGGTAGCACAGTTTAAAAAAGAAAATGTGCACAGGTCTTCTTTGAACCACTTTCCCTTTTTTGTAATAAAGGGAAAAGTTGATACCCCAATTTAAGAGAATGCCAACAGTGTGCAAAGCGCGGTTAAGGTCCGACAAAAATCGGTAGATGATGAAGCGACCTGTGTGATTCACAAATGCGCAGATTCCTTTGGCTGTCCGCGAATGCGTGTCTAGTAGAAGATGCCGCTTACATGTCTAATTCTTGAATACGTTACTTTGCGATACCAAGGTGCTACTTCTTGTTCTTACATTCTAGATTAGTAAAAGCACGTCCAGAGTCAAAAGTACCATATCTGATGCTATTCCATCAGTCT